AAGTAGAAAGAAATATTCATCACAAATGCTAAGGTAAGTTTTTTGTGACTTTAGAGTGTATTATTTTAGATATTCAAGAGGTATCCCAAAATTCAAGAATAAGATAAAAGCTTCATGTATAAAATGTCTGATTTAATTTAAAATTTCAGTATTTCCACAGTAGTAAATATATATGGGAGTGTTTTACGTCCTATTTTCCTTCAGTAGGGTTAGGAGAGATCTAAGTTGCATAGATCAAATACATGCTGTAATGGCATCAGAAAACAGGCAACTTATTTTTAATAGATGGGAAAATTTCATTCCTCCTAAAAAAAAACCAACTTTAGAGTTTACACAAAATTGGAGAAAAATAAATCTGTATCACAGTATAATCTATCATTACAAAAAGATACACTGATTGACATTTCCCAAATATCCCAAAATATCCCAAAGAGCACTCTAAGTATGCATTCTACTGAAGTCAGACATACACATGCTCCACAATTCAGCAGTTCGGCTCCTGTGCATACACTCATCAGAAAGGAATGCTTATTCCTACCAAATGATCTAAAAAAAAATTCATGGCAGCCTTACTTGTAGCCCCAAAGTGGAAAGCTATTCAATGTCCATCTATAATAGAAAGGATAAACAGTGGTGTGATCACACAACGCAATACAGACAACTGGGGGAACACAGGACACACACACGATGATGCTCAGAGACAAGATGCTGATGAAAAGCTCTGACACAAGAGTTCGTATTACGTGATTGCAGCCATAAGAAGGTCAAAAACAGGCAAAATGAACACATAGCAAAAATGCCATAGCTTTGTTTCTGTTGAGTAGAGGTAGTACTGACTAGGAAAGACAGCCTTCTGAAGTAGGGTGTTAGTTATGCAGGGTATGCTTATGTGTAACAAGAAAAAAAAAATCACTGAACTATCAAGTAAGAGTGTCTATTTGACTACATGAAGCTATACCTTGGTAAAAAGTTTTTTTTTTTTTTTTAAGTAACTTTTTTTTTTAAGGGGTCTTAAGTATCATTAGTTTCAAAAGCATTACTTAAAACCAATTCCTATTTTGAATTTACATTCTTATTCTGAATTTACTTAATTCTACAACTAAACTGAATTTATTTGCATTTTTAATAAAATATCGTAACCAGTTCAACTTTATTCAAACATCCTCTTAATTTTGAGATTACATGATAAACTTTCATAAATGGATAATTCATGACTTTAAAAGTGTAACAAGCCGGGGCGCCTGGGTGGCTCAGTGGGTTAAGCCTCTGCCTTCGGCTCAGGTCATGATCCCAGGGCCCTGGGATGGAGCCCCACATCGGGCTCTCTGCTCCGCAGGGAGCCTGCTTCCTCCTCTCGCTCTGCCTGCCTCTCTGCCTACTTGTGATCTCTGTCTGTCAAAAAAAAAAAAAAAAAAAAGGTGTAACAAGCCTCTGTATAACTAATGAACTATTTGAATGTCTGTTTCAAATATTTAATTATAATAGTTCATTCTTATCTTCAATTTAAAAAGATAACTTTCCATGGATGAGAAGAACAAATATTGTTAAAAGATTTAAATTACCCCAAGCAATCTATACCATTAATGCAATCCCTATCAAAATACTAAGTGTTTTTCACAGAACTCGAAAAAAAAAAATCCTAAATTTTTTTTAAAGATTTTATTTATTTATTTGAGAGAGGGAGATAGAGCAGAAGCCTGGGGATTGGCAGTGGGAGAAGCAGGCTCCCCGCTGATCAGGGAGTCCAATGTGGTGCTCGATCCCAGGACCCTGAGATCATAACCTGAGCCAAAAACAGATACTTAACCAACTGAGCCACCTGGTGCCCCCCCCCCAAAATACTAAAATTTGTACAAAAGACCCCAGACAGCCAAAGCAATTTTGCAAAAGAAAAGTACAGCTGAAGGTATTATAATCCCACACTTCAAGTTACAGTACAAAGGTGTAGTCATCAAAACAGTCTGGTATTAACACAAAAACAGACACACAGATCAATGGCACAGAGTAGAGAGCCCAGATATAAACCCACAGTTATATGGTCAATTAATCCTTGACAAAGGAGGCAAGAATATGTAACGGGAAAAAGACAGTCTCTTCAACAAATGGTGCTGGGAAAACTGGACAGCTACATGCGAAACAATGAAACTGGACCACTTTCTTACACCACACACAAAAATACACTCAAAATGGATTAAAGACCTAAATGTGAGACCTGAAACCACAGAAGTCCTAGAAGACAACAAAGGCAATAAGGTCTGTGACATCGGCCATAGCAATATTTTTCTAGATAGGTCTATTGCGGCAAGAGAAACGGAAGCAAAATAAACTACTGGGACATCAAAATGAAAAGCTTCTGCAACAGTGAAGGAAACAATCAACAAAACTAAAAGGCAACCTAGTGAATGGGAGAAGATATTTGCAAAGACATATCCAATACAGGGTTAGCATCCAAAACATATAAAGAAGTATATAACTCAACACCCAAAAAACAAATAATCTGATTAAAAATGGGCATTTTTAAGACATTTCCCTAAAGAAGACATCCTGATAGCCAACACACACGAAAAGATGTTCAACATCAGTCATCATCAGGAAATGCTAAATCCAAGCTGCAATGAGGTATCACCTCACACCTGTCAGAATGACTGAAAACAAAAACACGAGAAACTCTAAGTGTTGGGGAGGATGTAGAGAAAAAGGAACTCTTTTTCACTGTTGGTGAGTGCAAATGGTATTCACTGAATGCAAATGGTACGGCCACTGTGGAAAACAGTGTGGTGGTTCCTCAAAAAGTTGAAAATAGAACTGCCATATATATATACACAGGAACATATGTCTGTACATATATATAAAATAATATATACTGGAATATTATTCAGCTATAAAAAAGAATGAAATCTTGCTACTTGCAATGGCATGGATGAGCTAGAGAGTATAATGTTAACTGAAATAACTCAGTCAGAGAAAGACAAATACCATATGATTTCACTCATATGTGGAATTTAAGAACAGAACAAATAAGTAAGGAAAAAAGAGAGAGAGAAAAAGAGGGAGAGGGACAAGCCAAAAAACAGACTCTTAACTATAGAAAACAAACTGATGGTTACCAGAGGAGAGGTGGGTGGGGGGATGGGCGAAATAGGTGATGGGGATTAGGGAGTGCACCTGTGTTAAACATGGCAAGACGTATGGAATTGCTGAATAACTGCATTGTATATGTGAAATTACTATAACACCATGTGTTAATTATACCAGAATTATAATAAAATTAAATTTAAAAATAATAAATACCAGTAACCACTCTGCCCAAATAAAAAGGTAACTAGATTTCACAAAATCCAGAGTTTCTGATCATATCATTTCTTTCACTGGTAATAGTCAAAATTAAAGTTAACATTTGGGGTTCACTTACAATTTCTTTTATAGTCCTAATGTGCTTATTTAAATTTCTTACTCACTTTTACCCTCCCTCTCATAACTGACAAGAGGAAGGAGAAAATACCACTTTGCCAATGGTGAAGAATTTTAAACACAGAAAGTTACTACTTTAAAAGTTCAATATATTGTGCTATGGAAACATAAAAGACTGTAAATGTAACCAATCCTAGGAATTCATATGGTTTGACAAGTGATTAAGAAAACCTGTAACACTGATTTCTGTGTTATCTCATGTGAATATAAATAATAAATATCCAATTAATAAGGAAAATATGTATTCAAAGAAGTTGACTTATTCACTACAACTTCAAGAAATACATTATTAAATATTTCTATTCCAAGCAAGAGAGCAGGCAAGTTTAGGAAAACACAAAACTTAGGGGAGGTTTAAAGGTGGATATTAAGAAGGAAACTTTGGCTAAGGCTGAAGGGAACTGTTTTCACCACTGACTTTAGTCTAATTTGGTGCAATCACATGGGGTCTTGGGGTCACAAAAGACAAAAACATAAAACAGGTAAGTTCCTTCCTTCCTAGTAATGCATTACATGTCTGAGACTCAGGCTTTGCAAGCAGACGAATTATTATGCAACACTGATCTAACCACGTGATAACGCAGATAGGGAACTTAGCAGATGGACAGAGGCAGAGACAGGTGTCCAGGGATCCTGATGAAAGACTGGCAGAAATGTAGACAGCAACTGATCCCTATACTACAAGGTGGAGTTGTCAAAGGCAGGAAGAACTTTAGCCCTGCCTGATTAATTTAATGTATATTCCATACTGTCTTAGATAAATAAGTGCCTTCAATATCTCATTTTCAAATGAAAACATTCTTTAAAATAGTCCTATATGGAAAAAGGTAAAATGTAAATACTTCAGGTGCTTAAAATAGGCAACACTGTTTCTATCTAAGCCAGATTTATTTATTTATTTTTTGGGGAAGATTTTATTTATTTATTTGTCAGAGAGAGAAAGAAAGAAAGAAAGAGCGAGAACAAGCAGGGGGAATAGCAGGCAGAGGGAGAAGGAGGCTCCCCACTGAGCAGGGAGCCTGACATGGGACTCAATCCCAGGACCCTGGTATCATGACCTGAGCTGAAGGCAGATGCTAACTGACTAAGCCACCCAGGCATCCCACTAAACCAGATTTTTAAACAAGATTTATTTATTTATTTTAGAGAGAGAAAAAGAGAGAGTGGGGGCGGGTAGAGGGAGAGAATCTCAAGCAGATTCCCTGCTGAGTGAGGAGCCCCACGAGGGGCTTGATCTCATGACCCTGAGATCACGACCTCAGTGGAAATCAAGAGCGGGATGCTTAACGAACTGCGCTAACCAGTCACCCCCCACTAAAGCAGCTTTCTTTTACTGATTTACACAAAATTCAGAATTACCAACACTGAAATATATCCCTCTCCCCTGTTACAAACATCAAACAACTAGTTAGTCAATATCTGAAACTTAAAGAAAAACAAAGAACAAAATGCAACATAATATTCTTTCTATAATTGGAAAGGCTTAACTATATTTTTTAAAAAATGGAGCAACAGACAAAATACAATACCTTCCAGATGTGTGTCTCCTGACTGTTAAAATAATGGGTCCTGAGAACAGAGGTCTGAAATAGCTCACAGTCCAGAAACTCCCTGAAAATTAAGAAAAATAAATATTACTTCAAGTACTTCTTATCTCAAAGAATTTCAATGGTATGTTTTACAATGGAATCTTAATCATTGACTAAAATAAATTATCTCAAAAAATAGCAAAAAAGATGTAAGATAAAAAATATTCTTCATTATACATACTTTCCTTGGGCATAGCTATTGACTGTATCTGATGAACAATCTGCTTACAAAATTATTTACCAAAATACACTGTCTTTATACTACATAAACACCATTACCTATTCTCAAGGTGAGAAGTTAAAGGTGATGAAGAGGAATTCTGAGAGAAAAGCTACTAGGAGTATTCTGTAGTCAATACTGAGTTGAAACACCTTTTTCCTCTCTCTTTCTCTCTAGACCACTAGGAACAAAAAACGCTGAGCTGAGATTTAGAAGCCTTCTAGATACAGAATGACATCAACGTGTGGGCAAGTTTATACCCTCAGGAATAGAAGAGCGGGTGAAGACTTTCTGACCATCAAGAGACACAGCCTGTACTTTAATACTGCAGTGGCCGAGGAGACTTTATATTGATCAACAGGCTAATGGACAGTGAAGTTAGTTGGTCCTAAGGAAGGCGTGACGCAGACACCCTGATCCCACCACGGCAACTTCAACTTCCGAAAATACAGTAGCTACTTTTCATCATTACTTCATTTTACCAGTGTCTGTAGTTACCCTAAAACCACACAGAGGTATCAAATTTCTTTGAGTAATGCTTTCTCAACACCCTACCCAAGCAGGCTCTTTGACCATTATGCTTCCAGATCACTTTCTGGGCATCGGGCTTCTTCTTACTCTCACTGTGACTGTGAACCCCTCATTCATCTTTGAGTCCTCCGACACCTAATACGGTGCGAGGCCCATAGCTGACCAGCTCCACCAATCAGTGGATCTTCAAGACTTCTTCAATAATATACCATGCTGAAGTAAAAATAATACTGTGAAAGAAAGAGGGTAATTATATGGGCCAACTACAATGAGGAATACTTGTCTTTTAATTACTTACACACACACACACACACACACACACATACACACACACAATCCTTCATCAGCAAAACTCTTCTAGTATCTGTATTAATGCTCTCCCATCCCTTACAGACAATCAGCCTGGTAGGGTGGCAGATCTCCTTTCTGAACTAGGACTCCAATCCTGCTGTCCGAGGTCCTGCACCAACTGGCCTGATAATTGCACATGAACACAAATTCTCTACGCACATACATCAGCTGCTCCTAAGCAACCCTCCGTCAGCAGCAGGAAATGTCACCTACATGTATGAGTCAAAGATACCCAGAATCATAACTAAGGGCAGAATGTTCCCAAAATTTTAGAAGTAGACGGCATCATATTAAAATAGAATTATAACTATTAGAGACAGATAACAAACAAACAAAAACCCTGAAAAGACCTCCCAGGGGTTTAAAGAAAAAAAAAAAAAAAGAGCATTATCATTTCCTATTAGGACATTACATTTTCAGCAGCTAAATAAAAACATTACCAAATCATTTTATGTAATAAAATTTAACCTTATTTTGACCTTCCTCATAAAGCAAACAAATCTCTCTATCCAATAAGGTTCCATCTGAACTATGTAAGATGATAAGCAATACCTTAATTGCATTCATTTACATGACTTTGAAACTATTCTGGGCTGAAGTCACTGACTGCAAGGTCACAGAATACAAAAACGTAAAATGTATACAATTTACTGAGGAGGAATGATCCACTTAGAGTGATAGCACCTTCTCCCTCCTCATTAAAAGATACCAAATGCTTAATGCAATCAACAGGTGCAGAGTTCTCTTTTTGAAACATATCACACATATGCACACTGATTTTATAACTATAAATACATAGATATACTAAGAATATATATTAGAATAAGTTCACCATATATTATAGCTTGCTTGTTAAAAATCAATCTGCCTGAATAGAGGTAAAGCACAATTCACTAGCATTTAAAACCAAAAGATGAAACAGAGCTATTATTTTTTACATTCTCTCATGAAATTTCTAACAACTAAAATTCAGGTTACAAAGTTATAACAATTTTTAGGACAAGAACTGCAAACACAGGATCTTAAGTATATTAAAAGTTTCTGCTTTCTCTTTTGATAACCTAAACAAGCATACATTAAATTACTTTGCTTAGAGAAGCAGATTTTAAATGTCTCAAAGTCAGTAGTACAGTATTAGTAAAAGGAGGGAAATACAACAGACAGAAACTGATTACCACAGATTATAAGAGCCAATGCATATCTTTGAAAACTTCAGAATATACCAAACCACACAAAAACAAGGTAACCAAAAAAATGTTTCCCTTTAGTTTTGTAAAATTCTAATACAAACTAGATAATATTGGCACTTGAATTTACTGGAGAAAAGAGAAGGAAACAAAGATAGGATCTCAGGGTACTTTAAAAATGTTTATTAGTACAAATGTAGAGTATCAGATATTTGTTTTATGTTTAACATAACATCACTGGAATATTCATTTAAGAAATTTCTATCCAGGGTTGCCTGGGTGGCTCAGTCAGTTAAGTGTTCAGCTCGTGGTTTGGGCTCAGGTCATGATCTTGGGGTTGTAAGATGGAGCCCCACGTTGGGCTCCGCACTGGACTAGGAGCCTGCTTGGGATTCTCTCTCTCCCTCTGCCCCTCCCCACCTCCTCTCTCTATCTCTCTCTTTCTCTCACTCAAAAAAAAAAAAAAAAAAAGTTTCTGTCCATTAAATTAAACCTCCCACATTTCATTAACTAACTAACCAAGTACTTTTATACTCCTCAAGCCAATGTTTTGTAATTAAAGCTGAGTTAGTGAAAGAGAAACAACCTTATTACAAAATGTATGTCTCTTCACCTTCTTCTCTACCTTCACAGAAGGGCAAGGCTTCTTTCATGTAAATCTGTGTTAGATCCAAATAGTTTCAACTGATGGTACTCCACAAAGAACACAGGATAAATACATATTTATTTAAGTACTATATTCCTAAATAAACTTCAATACCATAATGTTATTTTGTCCTTTTTAAATGAGAAATAAAATATCTCATTTTTTCTCTATAAGTTAAGCCAATTCACTTTGGAATAGCTTACTAATAAAATTAATGCATACATGTATTTCTAAAGGTACTAGTTACTATTATGATCCACATATAACTTTCAGTGGCCATTTCTTCTTTAGATAAATTTTCTTCTGTAAGAAGCAACTCAGGGTCTAACATAATATACATAATTTGTATAACTATGTAACAGGCAATTCATGGTTCATATCCTTTGACGAGGATAAAAACATGGGGGCCAATCAGAATCTTCCAATATTTTTTCCAGTGTTCTTGGTCACATTTTTTTTTTCTTGGTCACATTTTTACTTAAACTCAAATCTCAGGTTGACAATAATTTCCTGTTAAGATGACAACTTTTTGTTATTTCTGAAACACTTCCCTCTGTCCACCCAAATGACTGAATGAATGCCTTACGTTCCTGCAGCTCACTGATTACAATCACAATATCTGAAGTTCTATTTCATCCACACAAATTTAGGATTTTTCCTTTCCTTGGATATCAGAACACGTTAAAGCCAATTTTTATAGCCACAAACCAGCCTTTGTGTATCTTTAAATGGGCTACAATCTTGAACTGAAAATGAACTGTATTAATGGCATCACTCCTCCAGCTCTCAAAGAAGGAAGTTAAGTCCAACTCCAGGTTTAGATACACTTATTTTAACAGCATCAATCTCAGGTGAGCCTAGTAAATCCTACTCACAAAGCAAGTGTGCACGTGTGTGCAAGTGTGTGTATGCCTCTTCCCATTTTCTCTTTGCTTTTTTCTTTCCTCCTCCCCAGGAGGTTAATGAACAAAATATTACACTTTCAAGTATATATAATGATACAGAGATAAACTACCCATCTGTCAGAAAAAGAGTTACCTAAATAAAGAAACTTAACAATTGTGTATGTAAAATTAAATCCTGGACTGACAGGGTTGTTCAGATAACACTCAGAAAAGCACAACGTGACTTAAACTGTAAGGAAGAGGCCAAAAATACTCCATAAAAATCAAGTCTGCCTAGAATATGCCGTATCTCCATTTGAAACACCTGCTAAGAATATGTGCATTCACAATTCTGTCTAGGAAATATTTTTCTTCCTCTCTCACCTGTTCCCCTGCCCAATCTGCATCCACCTCCATAAACAGCAGTAATCCACCATTATAAAACAGTTGACGGTTAAAACAATGAGCCAACGGAGAAAGTACAATATTCCATAACTGACATTTACTGCATTGGCCTTGGACTTCTAATCTTTACCAGACGGGCACACAAATCAATCCATCAGCTCATAAAGGTGTGCTTTTTTAACCTCTAAAACAGATGGGATTGGCCAGAAGTGTCTGGCATGTCAAACTGCTAATCACTGCTGCCCTTTGCACAAAATAACCCACTTAAGTTGAGGCATGGTTGCACTGTAACCGACATTAGTCTGTGGGAAACCCATTTAACTGTCACACACTCCTGCCACTCCTGCTCTCCCTTAATTAAGCCTAATGCCTTACGCTTTGACCTTTTGTTCTAGCCTATTAACCCTATCTAGTACAAGTTCAATTATGTTAAGCTAAAAACTTTGCTGTAAAATATTAAATGCCAAGCTCAAAAAATCATAAGGGACATCCTCCCAGCCCTTAGTTCTATGCACCCTGTTACTCCATGCATGCAACAGTAAAACCTCATTTTTGAAGTGATACTGACTCTTACAGAGTTGAGAAGAACCAAATTATGATTCTAGCCCAACCCCCTTATTTTACCAACTGAGTCCAGAAGAACATTAAACGACTCGCCCCTTTCATAGCTTCAGCTGAGCCATATTGAAACCTATCTGTCTCTGGCTCTAATCCTTTATTCTTCACGGTATCTCTGATTAATAGTTAAACCAACTGACAGCGTGTTAAGGATACCAGTATTTTCACCACAAATCCGGT